GGGTTACACACCACTGAAAAAAAAGGCAAGGACCTCAAGTCAAATTTGTCTCATAAATAGCAATGATTTAAAGGCTGAGCATGCTATGCTTTATGCTTCTCAGAGTGTACAAATACAAAATAATTAAAGGTTACTCCGGGCTGTTTATCAAAACCTGTTTACCAAGATATTTCTGAGAATTTGTCTGAGAAAGGAGTGCATCTGAATTCAATTTGGGAGTAAACAAGAAGAGCACTTTTCAATCCTGGAATGGTCTTAAATGTGGCTTATACATTTCATGTGAGGCCAGCTTGTGACCTTACCATCTGCCCTAAGGAACGCGTGCCACAAAGAATAAACTGGAATCTGACCTCCTTGCTCTGGGATAGTGGTAATTTATGTCTGCCTTTGTTGAGAAGTAGTTTGTTTTTTTAAAATCTGTGCCTAGTTTGCTGGAGCACAAAGCAGAGAAAGCCGTAGAGTCCTCCACATCACTTCCACTCCCTTCTTATTTCCCTGTGCATGGTGTGTAGAGTTGCTACTGCTGTTTCCTCTGTGCCACTAGTGTCAGTGACTTCATGCAGTCTCTGCTGCTGTGCAGAACAGTCCCTGAGGCAGGCTGGAGGCCAAATTAGCTACTTGTCCATCTCCTTTGCCTGTCACTAGGCTTTGGGAGCCAGCTCAGGGCAACTCTACTGATATTCCTAAAGAGATTAGGTAGGGAGCTTTGTGCTTGAGTCCCCCTTAGCATTTAACTGCCCAACCTCCAACTCTCTTGTCAGCCTCTGCAGTCACACTGCAGGCAAATAAAGTGATCATGCCTCCTAGCAAAAGAGCCGTAAGTACTGTCTGCTACAAAGGAGGTGAAGTTTGTAGGATTCTGACCAAGTTCAACAGGACCGTATGGACACAGGCGATTTGATTGTGGCAATCTAGACTATTGTAAAGCTAGCTAAGTATTCATTTTGCTGTTATATGCGTGCTGTAAATTAGCCAAGACTGGAATACCCCTAGTTTCATATAGTTAAGACATCTTATGGTAGAGAATATATACATGTTTTTTCTTGTTGCGCATAATAATGAAACTGAAGTTAGAGCTCGGTGTTTTAAATTAATTGCTTCCCCTATAGAAATATTCACAAGGAGCAGTGTATTTTCAGATGCACTCCCTTCCTTCTAGTTCATGTGTTAACTTGTGGCTATGGTTTGGTCCAGAACAGGAATACCAAAATTGTAGTCCAATGAAGCTGTATAAAGACCTCATAATATAAGCTTAAGTATAAGGTATGCTTATGTATGTAAAAGACTTCACATGACATGCAAATATTGAAGGTGGGCAGCTCAAGGACTTTAACAGTATGCTAAACACTGAAACAGAAGGACGAAATAGAGAATTGTGCATGACTTCCACACCCCTCCTCAACCCACTGGATGTTTTTATTGGAAGCAGTTAATTGTGCTGATAGAGATTTCATATTTCAGAAGGGAATGTAGTTTGGCAAAATGTCCTAGCTTTCAATACAGACAGATGAATAAAGGGTAACCTTTAAAATCCCCATAGAATAAACTGTTGAGAAACCAAACAGACACATGGAGACACCATCTGCAAGTTCTCTGAATGTGCAGAGCTGTAGAATACCATCCAGTCTGATAGCAAATAAATTTTAAGTGTGGTAAAATGGTACATACACATCTGTCATATTAAGAAAGAGCAAAGATTAGGCTCTCATTCTTGTTTATGATCTCCCACAGCAGCTACTACCCCAGTATTTATACACTGAGCAGATCTGCAAGCGGCGGCACATGGTAGACTTCAAACAAAAACGTGCAGCTTTCTGGCTCAAGAGAGTCCAGCCAGGGTTGCAGGTTTTCATCTTTACCTACTGGGAAAAATTTATTAGGAAAGTAGAAATAGTCCCAGGGCTGGCAGATATTAGACTAAAGCCACGTAGCATTTTCTTTACCACTGATGTCCCCTTGGCCATGAATGTTTTCTCTCCAGTGCTCACATACCTAAGCCTGGCTTCTGTAAACTGTGCTGGCCAAACAGATTGCAGTTATCTAAGTGAGTCATGGAAAGAGAGGTCACTAAGGTAACTGTGGCCTAGGTAACTCATAAATCATACCTAGAGTTTCATTTGGAAACAGAAGTGTGTTGAAAGTCAGCAAAGAGAGACCATAATTTCAACCAACATAGACAATTCTACAATTCTATGATGCCATGTCTTGCCCAAGAAGCAGGCTACTGTGCTCTGCAAAGACTGAAGCACATGTATTCTTTTCTCCTTCAGTGTAAAATTCGGTGCAGAGAGTTATAGCAAGCTAACACTTTTTTCTTTTTAAAAAAACCCAACCAAGTCATACTGTCCACATTTAGCCATGTGCGTAGCAGATGTCAGAGAATCTGCACGACTTTGACAGACCCGAACAGATGCCTCTATAAGGTGATAGACTACTGGCTTAGCTTTTCTTCAAAGTATTTTCCTCTTGCTATCAGCAACTGCCCTGTTCTGCTTGGATTTAGGGTAAGTCAGCTGTTACTTATCCAAGTTCTTCTATCTGCATCTTGAGATGATGCAATGATGATTATATAGGAGGAGAACAAGACACAGAGCTGAATATTCTTTTAATGTACAGACTTTGAAGAGGACGGAGGTAGCATCATTCCCTACAAGGTCTGCACAGATAAGAAGTTGTACTGAAGACGGTTGCTATCGCTGCTGTTTCACTAAAATGACACAATCCATGTGTGCCACAGAACCAGCTCTCTGGTGGCTGCTGTAGTATTGTACAAGGGTTCCATTATTGTAAATGGTGTGAGCATTGAATTCGTGCTTCTTGAAGCTCTGAGGAGGCTGGGGCAGGACTTGCAGAGAGAAGAGGGGGGCTGCTGTTCTGGCACCAGGAGATCAAGATTCAGTTCTCATCTTTGCTACAACTACTTTGCTACAACTACTTTGCTCTTTCTAATCTTGGACAAATCATTTAACCTCTCTGTGATTCAGTTCATGACATCTACACTATAAATTCAGGCTTGTTTAAATAGTCCCTTTTATTCTGCCAGAAAATGAAGCAAGTAAAATGTGACAACTAAGCAGGGCAATAAGCCGTTCCAGAGGTTAAGGACATATGGTCTCTGATTTTTGTGTTTAACAAGAGTTGTTCTGTATAATGATGACTCCTAGTGGAATGGTGTTTTAAGTGTTGCCAAAATGAATAAAGATAACCTACGTTTTGGCAGCCTCTTTTTTTTGCACCTGGGCATTCTCATGCTGAATGAGGCAGCAAACCCTCTGTGCCCATCTCCCTTCTTCCCTACCAGGCTTTTCCCTCATACACAAAATTTCTATTTATATATCTTTTAATACATTTAAGTTGCGTAAGGAGGTGGATTATCCATCACAACTGTACTAAAAGGATTTACAAAAGTTTTTCCAGGGAAATAATTGAATGGAACAATGGAACTTGCACTCTTCCAAATAGTGAACTGGTATTTAAGTGTCTTGGTCAGATTAGAATACCCCATTTCCTCTCTTTAAGTAAAACCACAGCAGTCTCAGAGACGTCCCTCCATCCAAGAACTAAAGGCATGTTTATGACAACCTGTGGCTATTTCTGTCTGCTCAGTGATTTTCCTAGGAATGATAATTTGAGTATGGAGGGATAACTGGTACAGTCTACCACAGTAAAGCTTTCATCAAAGTCAACGGCAGTTTTCTGCAGCATTTGGATGTTTATATTGCTAAGAAAGGGGCTATATTTTTTGGCTGGTTTGGCAGCTCTGCCTTTAAGGAGAAAGTTATAATGTCCAATAGCAGTTTTAACCAGCAACACAAAACAGGATTTTATCCATCCATGTCCTGTGTAGCCACTGTTCATAGCATCTCACACTTTCTATCTTTTCCTTTTCATTTCTGTCATTTTATCCCATCCTTTGATTTCTCATTCAACCTTTGGCCTCTAGTTCATCCAGATCAACATCATCATTATTTTGTAGGTTTTGCTAGATTACTTCTGAGAGGATTATTCCCAAGGAAGATATTTGTTCCCTTTAAGGTCTTTTGAAGTGCTTAACTTGCATAATTATTTTCTTAATCACTTTTTAAAAAAAAGTCAACATTCTTCTGTCTTAGGAAGACATTAACCTCAATAACTGTAATCATTAAACTTCATTTTGAAAAAGTCATACAACTGCAAACTTTTTGTATTGTGTTGGATGTTTGCATACTTGGTTGCTCATCTGCACACTCGCTTCTGGTGATATTGGCTCTATTAATGCCAATAAGGACTGTGGGAGCAAGCTTCCAACTGAGGAAAAGCAAAAGTTCCCATTTTTCACTTCCCCAACAATTTCCAAAATGCACATGAGATTAAAAAAATCTCAATATTTAAATTATGTATTCTTAGTTGATTTCCTTTTTACTAAAAAGTGCAAAAAAGGCTTCCAAAAACTGATCATAGACAAAGTTGTCACCCTTCAAGATCTGTGTTTCTATACCAACAAACTGGTCTTGGTACCTGCAATACCCAGATAGAGTTGGATAAGTGGCACATTATGAGGCTGGGAAAGGTCAGTAGTGGCCCTGAAGTATGGAAGCAGATGAAGGGAGCTGGAGAAAGAGCATCACAGCCATGGTGATCGTTCCAGGGGTGGAAGTTCACCAGGGAGAGGTTTGCACTATTGTGGGAGATTTGATTTCAGTACTTGCAGGCATGGCTGGGCCTGGTTTTAGTCTCAGTAGTTCCTGTAATGATAGCAGTGAAGGGCATTAGGTTCCAGCATGGCTTAGCAAGATGCCTAGGCAACTGATCGGCCCATGTGGGACTGGCATCCATGTTGGCTAATTCAGGCAAGTCTATCCTCTACAGTTATTCCTTTTCACTGTAGGACAAACCCCTGAAGCAGAGCAATGTCATGGAAAGAAAAGGGCTGTTAGCTATGGCCAGTAACTCCCTAACGAAACTCCTACCTCTTACGTTCATGATTTCATCTAATGAGCTGTGCATATATGTTTTTGCAGATAAACCAGACCCACCTGCTGGAACACCTTGCGCATCAGACATCCGGAGTTCCTCCCTCACTCTCTCATGGTACGGTTCCTCTTACGATGGTGGAAGTGCTGTGCAGTCCTACACCGTGGAGATCTGGAACTCAGTGGATAACAAATGGACAGACCTCACTACCTGCCGCAGCACCTCTTTCAACGTGCAGGACCTGCAGGCTGACCGGGAGTACAAATTCCGCGTGCGAGCTGCGAACGTGTACGGCATCAGCGAGCCCAGTCAAGAATCGGAGCTGGTAAAAGTTGGAGAGAAACAAGAAGGTTTGTTCTTAAAGGAAAAGATAAATCTAAATTCAATTAAATGATATCTTAACAGTTCCTCGGTGAGGTCAGGCAGCTGTACACACTCCTTCATGTGTGCTTCTGTGCAATGAAGGCTTGTGCTGGCTCTAATTGTGCTGAAGTCCCTTTGCAGACTTCATGTGGGTGCCTGAGCATGTAAGTTTTGCATGCACCCATTGTGGAAACTTGGCTTCAGGGATCCCAAAATCCTGCCTTGTGAAAGCAGCCATTGGACATCTGGCTTGCTGTGTGAGTGCTCTCACAGAGTTGTGTAGTTCAGTGCACAGGTAATGGGAGGTGAAACCTTTCGCACTTAAGTTAAGCATTCAGACCGTGCCCAGCTGGAAAATTATATTTGAAACATACGGATGGATTCATTAGTTTACACTGGACACACCGTGGAAAAACAAGCCATAAACACTATCCCAAATTTGCATTTGGAAAGAGTGAATGTGCTTGCTGCTAGCAATGTTTTTGATTACAGTTGCCCACACTTGTGAAAATATTTTTCAGTATCTTTTGCCTCTGTTTTGTTGTTGGATTTTTGCTTAAGATCTCAAAGGACTAATGGGAAGAAATGGCTGTAAACTGGAGGGGAGCAGATTTAGACTGGAGATTAGGAGACAGTTCTTTACTGTGAGGGTGGTGGAGCACTGGAACAGGTTGCCCAGGGAGGTGGTTGAGGCCCCATCCCTGGAGATATTCAAGGTGAGGCTCGATGAGGCCCTGGGCAACCTGGTCTAGTTGGGGGTGTCCCTGCTGACTGTGGGGAGGTCGGACTAGATGACCTTTGGAGGTCCCTTCTGGCCTGGACAATTCTATGATTCTATGATTCTATAAGAGCTAGAACATTTTAGAAATTATTCGGAAACTGGTATTAAATGTAAAACACACACAAAGATCAGCATTATTTTTCAGAAAACAGATACTGAATGCATATTTTTGTGCACACCCACATCTGCCTACTGTGCAAGCATCACTTTGATAGTCATAACACACCAAAAAGCCCAGATCAGGAATTAAGTATTTTTCCATTTTTCCTGTCCTTGAGGAGTGGATTGTGTGTTGTATCTTCCCCTCCATACTTATGTCTGCAGGGCTTTGGAGTTTTAAGGGTCTCACATAGTCCTTGTGACGTTGTCTTTGCAGCAAGGCAAAATGATAGCACAGTGCTGCGGCATCACACAACTGCATAAACCTCTCCACAGACATTTCCAAACAAAAGTAAATCATATGTCTCTTCAAGTGCTAAATTGGATGCATTCTGAGAAATTACTTTCCTCCTGATCTAAATCAAGATGCAGCTTCTCTTCAAAAGGGGAAAAATAATATTAAAATTGAAAAGGAAGCTAGATGGTATTGGCTCTTCATAATAAAATTCCCTGTGTTTGAATGCCCTCTTTCTTTAGTTGCAGGGCAAACACCTTCTAGAGTTGGGGATCTGACTCCTCCCTACATTTGTTTTTCCTAGAGCAAGCACCACTTGTGCTGGACCAAACCAAACAAGCTATTTTTCTTTTTAAGACTGAGAGTTTTCTTACACAGATTTAATACAAAAAGGCTAGAAAGTTTATGAATCATTGTGCTGCATATAAAACAAACAAACAAAAAAAAAGGTGTTTTGAGTGAAAAGAAAATGCATTCTATTTACAGAAGGGTGGGTTGTCTTGGCACTCTCGATGCCAGTCTTCTTTATTTTAATGCTGGATACCACAGCTAGTGTGGACAAAGGACAAGTCATATAAAGCGTGGTTTTTCAAGTGTGTGAATATAACTGGTGCTTTAATTAAAGGCAGTGGAAAAAGCATGTGTTCAGCACCTCTCAAAGTCAGGACTTTAAGCTGCCATCTATGTAAACAGCTGAGTAACGGGATTTTCCACTGCTGCCAGAAAGACTGATTACTGATTTTCATACTGAGGTGGCCGGTGCATATTAGCAATCTCAATGTAATCTTAGTGAAGAAAGGCATGGCTAACTTTTCGCTGTGCGTTTAAAGCAAACAGCTACTAAAATAAGATTGCAAGTCACAACCGATTAAAGTAGGCATTGCCATGTTTGAGGAAAATTTGGTACTGTTGACTCATTTCTGAGAAAGGTTTTAGCACAGCTACTCAGCGCTTACCAAGCTCAGATATGTCCCTCTTATCTAATTTAGGCTTCCACCGATGGACCAAAATGTTTCTAGTTCATGGCTTCAATATAGTGTCGCTGCCGAAGCGGGAACTGACTTCTTTGTCTAATCAGTATTTGGCAGACATTAACTACTGGCAGCGCGGCGGGGATCAGCTCCCTTACGCAGCCCTTAAAAGGGGAGGAAAATGTGATGTGCTCTGTGCAGACACGGTTTCTAGCTGGGGAAGATCTGAGGACAGCTACCCTTTGAGTGGGGAGGGCTCACTTCCCTCCCTGCTCTTCTGGTGAATCCCTGCAAACCAGCTAGTCCGTGCTGGGACGTACAAGAGCTCCAAATCCAGAAAAAAAAAAAAAAAGAGAGAGAGGGGCTTTAGTAACAGATTAAACCTACTCGATTGGCTTTGGTACCAGAATACAGATGCAGCGTTATGTGTTGGATGTGAAAAGGTGATGCCCATGCACCAGACCAGCTATCTGCTCACCCTGCATCCTCTCTTTTTGGTGTTTTCTTCTCATCCCCTGCATCTAACTCTATACTTTGAGGCACCCAACGGCATCCAGAGTACAGCATTAATGTTTCATAACATAAATCTGTTGAGACAGTGGGAATAAATCACCCGGTTAGGCTTGAGCTCTACAACAGCAAAATGCAGCTTCAGGAGCAAAAAGAAGACTTGTACAGGTCACTGTGCAACTGCCTTTGCAGTTTCTCAAGTTACTGTCAGAGCCACGGGTCTTAGGAGCAAGCCCAAGCAGTTTAAATAATATATAACAACATTCCAGCTACAGCCCCTTTCCCCTCATACCTGCAGGCAACACAGGGAACACCACACAAACTGGTGCTACTGACAATTCATGCACATGAAAATTAAGAATTAAAATCAAGACACTCAGGCCAGCTCTGACTCTGCCTCATGTCACTGAGCTTGCCAACGTCTCTGCCTGCCTTTGAGTATTCCTGCAGAACTGAGGCTCCATTTGGACCTCAATGATTTAAAAATTCAGCCATGCTCAGGAAAGCGCATGTTGTCCAAAGTTTCTAGTCATCTTGAGCCTGAAAAATTTGTCTGAATGCTTTGTGGGAAATCTTTTCATGTACAAACTGGCTTTACTTTTGGCTTTGCAATCCAAAAAATGCACGGAAAAGCTAGAAAAGGATCTGTCATTGAACCAGAAGTGTTATTAATATTTTAAATTTACTTTCTATTTCACTAAGGCATTCCTAAAGCTATTTGTTGGTTGACTTTGAGCTGATTCAGTATGCTGACATTTCCAGGAGGCAGGTATAGCAGACAACACATGAATTTCATTTATTAAGAAATGGTCACCAGATTGTGATTATGTAGTCAATAGTCATGTAGAAGCGGTGAAGAGATTTTAATTACGAAGTTAATGCACAAACTCTCTGCTTTTTGCTGCTGGGCCATAAGATCCATCAGTTGCCCCTGTTACTGTAAATGATTTCATTATTTTATATAAGTACCACATCCTATATAATAATTTGCTCATGTTTTTTTATTTTCATCATAGAACTTAAAGAGGACGAAGCGGAGCTATCTGACGATGGTAAGGAGTTCATATTTTATTCAGGACAAATGGAAGTCTGTGTTTTTAATTCATGTTTTATGGAGGCTTTAATTGTGGTCCTTATTCCTTATTTGTAGAAGGGAAAGAAACAGAGATCGAATATCGGACGGTTACTATCAACACTGAACAAAAAGTTTCAGATGTCTATAATATCGAAGAAAGACTTGGATCGTAAGTACTGTATTGTGCTTTTGAGGACGTGGAGTTTTCAGGGCTATCAGTCAATTTTAAAGATCATGCGCATTCATTCTTTGACAGTGTCTTGCACTTTCAGCATTCCAGCTGGGCTCTTCTCTTGCAGTAAAAATAGGTCTTAATATATGTTGGCCCCCACTCCATAAAGATCCTTTATTCCTATTAATCAATAATTTTAAATAGGCACTACATGCATTTCTGGCAAGGAAAATGGAGCCAACAAGTGAATAAAGCCAGAGGATTCATTTGTTGTTCAGCATTCTAAAAGCTAGCTGAAAAAAAGGTACACATTGTGCACTTGCATCTCCATTATATCCATTAGTGGTAATAAGATTATCCTGCCCACAGGCTAGAATCTCTGCTGACAGCGGTCATAATCCCAAGAGCATTAGTAGTATTGCTCAGTGAAGGTCAGTGATTAGCCTGGCTGCGTCTCTCAGCACTCAAACTCGTGGTTCTGTGAATCTCATGCCATGATAATCTTTTAGTGATTTGTGCTGCTGGTGGTGCTAAAGGCACAGGGATCCTGTCTCCTCCCATTAACAAGTATTGATAAGTGTATTGTAGAGGAAGAATTGTACGTACACGGCAATGGGAAATAATAGTTCTGAAGCCTTGAGCATTCGGGTTCTGATTTTCACCTATACCTGAGATGTCTCCTATCTGCTGCCCCTTCAGATGTGTATAACCTATAGAAAAACTGTGTGCAGAAAAACTAAATTAATGAATTTTATTAATTAAAGCCTGGTAGGAATCCATTTTTCAAACCCTCTTGTATCCCTAATTGGGATAGCAGGTTATCTATGAACGCGGTATTCATTCAAAAGTTCTTGCGGATTACTCTGCACAAACCTAGTACAAAGCAGTATCTGATATGAAGACATTTTAATTCAGAATGGAGTGGTTGTGCTGGAATATTTACTAAAATGTTGCTATTCACGATGGCCCATGTATTGCAAAAACTTTTAATGGAAATAGTTATATATTTTCAGGGGGAAATTTGGACAAGTCTTTAGGCTTGTTGAAAAGAAGAATGGAAAAGTTTGGGCAGGAAAATTTTTCAAAGCATATTCTGCTAAGGAAAAAGAAAATATAAGGGAGGAAATCAGCATCATGAACTGTCTACATCATCCAAAACTTGTCCAATGTGTAGATGCCTTTGAAGAAAAAGCCAACATCGTTATGGTCTTGGAAATGTAAGTATAAATCAGATCGCACTAACAAAGCTAATCATGTTGAAAATAATTGTCCATACAAAACAACTTACCTAGACATGGGACTGTCAAAAACTTTGGCATCCTCAGGGCCTGGATGATTTTCACATCTTGCAAGTTTTTCCAATTATTTATCCAACTGTGTAAGTGAATCTGTGTTGTTTCTCTTAAAAATCAGTGAAGATGTGTTACAGTCTTTATTGTCTAGTTTGTTTGTTTTTTAATCGAGTACATGTGGTGTTTTTCTGCAGCTCACTCTTTTATTGCCAACTTGGGAGGGGAGAGAAAAAAAGTTAGCTGCAATTTGGGCTTGCATTTAGAACCAAAAACATGTTTAAGGAGGAGAAAAAATATTATTTTTTTTCTTTAGGCTGTTCTAAACAGATACTGAAGAAGCTTATGTCAAATTTCACTTAAGCACTGATGAGTTCTCTCTTGCAGAGAATTGGATGTCAGTGCACAACAGATTGCAGGAAAGACAGATATGCTTGAGAATGCAAACATCTAGGCTACATTCTAACAAAATAGCTGAATTTCTGTGAAAAATTCACCCAGGCAAAACTATAGCACCCAAGAGGTATTTGGAACAGTTCAGTTTTCATCATGTGCTATATCAGGTTTTATATTTTTAAGAGAATTTAAAGGATTAGTCTGATGTGGTTTTCCTGCAACAACATAAATACTCTGATTGCAAAATATTTATATATAATAAAGGAGTGCTGTCTGAAAAATCTCCACAGATGAACACAGTGAATGTTCTAAATATAGATCAGTAGATGCAGAAAGATCGGTTACACTGACTGTCCCCCATTTTCTCCCCACCCCCCCCAAAAAAAAGAAACCTAATTGATGAATTAGTCTGCCCTTAATGTCAATATAGAGATTCTCCATGATGGTCCAGGTGTAGCAGTTGTAGAAGGGGATTTCTCCTTTACCTGAAAGACATTGCAGTCTTCATCCAAAGCTGTATAATTAAGTAAAGCTGAATTTGAACACAGTCTATGTTGCTGTCTTGTTCTTGCTGAGTAAGATAGCAACACTTATTCTAACCACCCAGAAACTGTTCGCCTTGAGCTACTTACTCCACACCACTGCAGGAAATAACAGAAAAGGACCCTAAAAGCAGTGCTGTAAAGCATCTCAAAGGGCTGTGACTTAAGTGTCTTTGTATTTGAAGATAGTCGATATTTACTTCCAGAAAAGAGTAGGTTCAGAGAATGTTCATGCACCAGAATTCATTATAAGAAAAGAATCTGCACAACATGGGATGGAAACTAGTGGTCAGACTTAAAAAACAATAAGAATGACCCACGTGGCCAACGTTTGCATCATACAAAACACACCTGCTTAGTGTGAATCCCATGCTTGTGGCAGGAGCAGCTGGAAAGAACATGAAATCCTGCTCCGTGCTGATGTTTTTCCCAAAAGGTTACATCAGTCACTGTTCTGCTGCCACATCTCCTTCACACACTTTCTGTTGAATGAGGAGAGGCAGGCTTTCTGCTGGCTGGAAGTGCTGAATAAGATAGAAATTGTTGAAAACAAAAGGGGCTATATGTCTATTTTGCTTGCTTGGCACTTGCCTAGATGATGTGCAACCTACTGTTGCACCAGCGTGTTTCAGAGACGGGATCTCCATTATACAACCTTGGTACTTATGTGCAAGAAGGAGCTTTTATTTTTAGATTGAGCAGTTGAGCAAGCTGGTGAGGGTAAGGGAAGGGAGCCCTACTTAGCTTGGAATGGGAAGCTGGCAGACCTAATGGAAAACAAGGAAATGTATAAAGAGTTTTGAATAGCATACGGCTTTACACTCCATTAGTTCCTCCCTGCCAACAAAGGGGGTTTACTTCTTAAAAATACCAAAAAGTGCAATCAAATTTAAAGTAGTTTTGTTAACCCCTCTAATTAGGATATTATTTTAGTCTGGGGGGGCCACTTTTCTGACTTTTGAACCCCACGCTGAGATTTCCATGGTGTCAAGTGCTGCAGGAGCAGGGGTTGTCAAAGCATCCCCCAGGCAGGCAGTAGCTCTGGAGCAGGGCTGGGCAGGGACATGCTTGTGTGACACCTTCGTGTCAGAGGAGTTGGTAGCCTCGGTGCTGTCACACGTTACCCAGCTGCCGCAGTCCCAGCGTGGCAACTGCACCTGCATTGTTGGACAGCCACTGACGGAGCCTTTCTGCTTTAGCTGCAAAGCTGGTATTTCCTTGCACATCAAAGGAGTTGTGGGAAATACCTTCAAAAATTCTTAATATCCAAGCTGTTCTCAGAGCTGTAAACAGAGTCTAAATGCGTGGATTCCAAAGAAATGGAGCTTTCCTGCCAACAGTCTTCTTTTAAACTAGATTTTAGCAGTGAGTGAAATTTAGCAGCTCCCCCTCCACTTAATAAGGAGCTGCTGATGAGGAGCACCTTTGGATTTTTCTTCCTGATATTCAACCTAAAATTTTCATTTTAAGTTTATTCCCATATATTTTTATAACTTTTCTTAACTTCACCCTGTCTCCTTTTAAATATTATCATGCCACTATTTTATATGGTTTGATTTCATATTTATAATAGATTCAGAATTTTGTGTCATTCATTTAAAATCAAACAAGCACTCTAAGAGTTCAAATAATTTGATGTATTCTTCCCTGGATACCCTTCCATCTACTATTTGCTGGGGCAAATCTCAGGCATTTCCTTTTCAAATATAGCAATGTACCTGCTCCACAATAATCATCTCAGTGGAAAAAGAATATCTGTAAAACAGTAGCACGTTGTGAATGGGACTCAGCACTGGGAGTTAAGTGCCTTTCAGTTTTTACAAACTTCAGATAGTCAGTTTATTTTGGCATAGATCAGAAGGGAGCTATTGTTTTGCAAATTAAGATTATTAAAGCAAAATTTCAGCAGTAAACTCCATTCATTTAGTGTGATTTAGCACAAGCCACTGAAGTTTTCTCTTTTTTTCTAGGGGAGATTTATTAAAATGCAGTTGAGTATTTGTCTGGGCAACTGCAGGGTAGATTCTTCTGACTGTTCCTCCATGACCAAAGCCTTATAATGTCATACTTTTTAAATGTGTATTTTGTGACTCTATATACAGGAATATATTCCTCTGTGACCATATCTAGAGAATATTGAAAAGAGGGAAGTCCAAGAAGAAATCCGACTTCACCTTCTGTGTATACGTAAAACCTAATCTGTGTTGGTTCAATTCAGCTTCCTGACCTGGCAAAAATTAAACTGGATTTGGCTCAGGATATAAATGCAAAAATATGCAGTTCAATCTGATGATGCTACTAGTGAGTCTAGAGGTCCCAGGGTAAAAACAACATGCAGATGTATTAACAGGAGTTAATTTCCAAATAATATACTAAAAAGCGGTGCTTAAGACAATGGTACGATTTCTGAAAATGTTTTCCTTTAGGGATCTGAAAATATGGCACTTTTATAGTAAAAATAAGCCATCATTATCTAGTCAAAAAACAACTGGTATTTTTTATTATTAGGATGGTTATTTGGAATTGCAGAGTGCTCCAGATATAAACATTTTGCGTGCAGATGTTTTCATAAACACCTCCACACCGGTTAATGTCTTACTGAAGTAACAAAATACTATATCCCAGCCTTATCAGAGCTGTTTATTCAACAGCTTTAGCCATATTATTGGCTTTATGTTACAGATACCTTATAATCCAATGTCACCTCGCAGTTTGTCAAGCGTATGCTATTCTTACTGTTTTCATCTTAATAGGAAACCGCAGTAGCATTTCTAATTATATACTTTCTGAAATCTTATAGCCAGAGCAACAAATGTGTCCAAAACTCCAGATGTTTCAATTTCAGTTTAGTACACGAGGGATATAATCATATATCTGACAACCTACAAACACTGCGAGGCCAGTTTTCAGTTGTGTGTTTTCTTTCTGTAACTGAGATGTGCAATTACATTTGGCAATAAGCACGGAGGCTGCAAAATATTAAGCCATATAAAGACCATGGAGCGTTTAATTTAGAACAGATTTCTAAGAGCAAAGCTGCTCTTCACCATTTGCTCCTTTCCTTATGGGTCATTCACTTGCTGCATACAAAAAAGAATTTCCCATTTTTGGATGTAAGCAGATAAATCAATTCAGTGATTTCTCAGATTAAAAATAAAAATAAAATAATAATAATAACAAAACCAACCAAACAAATAAAAAACAAAAAAACCCCACAAAACAACCCAAACCAGAACTTAAATTTTGTTTTATTAAATCTAGGTTAGAAGCGTCCCACTTTAGTTCCACACACAGTTCAATCCAGGAGATTCTACTCTGGGAAGATTAATTATTTCACATCTTAAATAAGCATAAAAATGGAATTGACCTACAAGGAGCGTGATGATAGTTCAGCTAAAAATAGCAGCACTGACAGAGTTGTGGGTTATATCTTTGTCCTGTCACAGCTATGGAGGAAATTCCCTCTGAGCTCACTTGGGTCAGTAATTTACCCTTTGAGCTTTGCATTCCAATTAACCGTATCATTTGAATTCTTCCGTCTTCAGCCTTTCTTTGTCACTCTCAATCTCTCTTCTTCCCAAATTTTTTGCCAATCTACTAGAAGTTCTGTCCTCTTTTCCTGGGACTCATCCCAGGTATTTTAGTTTTCTTTATTTCCGAATTCTGTTATCTGCACTTGGGTAGTGATGGAGCAGTGAGAGTCGGGCTGAGAGCCTGGAGCGGTGTTAGAGACACGTGCCAGCGGGGTGACGATCGCACAGCACACGAGTCAGTGCCAGCTGCAGGGGCTGCAACCTAAAGGTGGGATGTAAATCCAGCTACACCCCTACCACTGGGGTAACAGTATGAGTGTTTCACAGCCCTAACCTAGGGAAGACGTTCAGAATGGAAAAAAATCTATTGATTTATACCACACACAAGAGGCGATTCTTTCTACGTGATCTGTGTGTCTATGGAAAATGCCATCACAAAACATAGATTGCGTCCTGAAGTGACTATTGCAAGCTTGAACTATCTGTGTTTGTGTAAAGGATATAGTTTGATTACTTCCAAAATGACAGCGCTACAGAAGGTGTTTTGTTCTGTCTTTCATAGGGTTTCTGGAGGAGAACTCTTTGAACGAATCATTGATGAAGACTTTGAACTGACAGAGAGAGAGTGCATTAAATATATGAAGCAGATTTCAGAAGGAGTTCAGTACATCCATAAGCAGGGAATTGTCCACTTGGATTTGAAGCCAGAAAATATTATGTGTGTCAACAAGACCGGTACAAGTATTAAGCTCATTGACTTTGGACTTGCAAGAAGATTAGGTAATGACTTCTCTGCCTATTTCAATATGACACGGGGGAAAGGGCAGGACAAACAGTAATTCATACTTACTATTATATTCTTATATGTATAGAGTAAACATACATCTTTCCTATAAATAGTTATGGGTTTAGAAAAAATAGAAAAGGGAAAAAGAAGACATTCAAGAGTGAGAATAAGGCACCTCATCTTCACAAGGAGTTTGCAATGACGTGTATACAATCTACCTGCCTGTTTCTATGGCTGGGGTATCCCTGTAGATTACAAGGTGAAATGCACAGTAGTAGTAATGTTAACAGATATTTATGTTTGCTAAAGCAAACCATAACCCACTAACTCTCTAACTGTAAAAAATAGAACAAAATTTTGATGTTCATGAATACTACAAATCCTTTAAACTTCTGTAACAGCAGGAGTTAAGGTGTTGTTCTAGAAGACTTTCAGATATGGATAGTTATATTCAATTTACATTTCCCCATTAGCATTTCTTACCCTAAACAGCAGCATATTGTCCTGCATGTTAAGCATGGGAGAGCTTCTGTAAAGAGCACTGGGTTTGGGGGGAGGGGAGACAGTTCCATTTGACAAGCTCCTCCTCATCCTAAGCTGTTTTTAGCTGCTTCCTAGCATTCATTTTGGACTAAGCTTTCCAACTTTTTGCGGTTTGAAAGCCAAAGACCTTGAAGGGCTCTTGTCTTCATATTGCTCAGTGTTAATTCATCTCTAAAAAGCAGCTGTGTTTGTTGGTGTTGAACATCACCAGAATCACGCAGTGATCTTTTTTAATCTTGTATTTTCACAAGAGAAAGAAAATAATTCCAGGAATTAAAAGAGCTAAAATACTTTATGAGCGTGTTATACTGGGTGAACTGAGATTTGTGGCTCTTCTGCCATTAAATTGATTGGGACAATTCATACAAATTGCATCTCTATATAAAGTGGCCCACAGCTAGATTCTTAGCTGTAGTCTTTCACCTTCCCTCTTTAAACAAAATTATATTTAATACTTACTAAAAAGTAGAACAATGATTTTTGTAAGAGTAAAGCTTGGAATTACAACCTCCTGATTTTTGTTATCTGCTTACATGCTGCTCATTCGACTTCTCTTGACACTTAAGTAACAGGCTGCTGCTGCATACTCAGGACATATCATTACTCAGGAATATCATTTTACTTAAACAAACCAAAAATGGTATGTTGAATGAATAGGGGAAAAGAAATCTGTTTTTCAGATTTTCAGATGATGTTCAACTCCAAAAGGGTGTTACATGAATCTTGGTCACATGGACACTGCAAACTCAGAGATAAGGCATTTATTCCATTCATTAAAAACCAGAGATCACTGGCATTTATGTTCCTTCAGCAGTATGAAACCAATAGTTTTCTGGGAGAGTGAACTGGAACTTTTTTGTTGTTGGGGAAACAGCTGAAGTGTTAACTAAGTTCCAGTGCAGAAGTTTTTGTTATCAGAGGCAAGTGAAAGACTTCATCCCATGAAATGTCAGCTGTCAGCCTGAAAACTATACATTTACTGCAAAAGTGAGTGATTTCTCCAACAAGAGATACAATGTAACCACAGAATGGCCTTTTCATAGAAATTTCTTCCATTTTTCTGTTAATCTCGGGGCAGCACTGTGTTGCACGGCTGACACTACCTTGTGAGCCGCTACAGTCACGCTTTATTTAGTAAATCTCTAACCTGTATATAACTTTTCTTGTTGTAAAAGGATGAGAGCTATGGGCACTGATGCTGATTTGGATTTTACGATACTGTACATCCATTTGGCTTAATATGTTACTAATTCTTGCAAAGTTACAATATAGGTATTAGCTGTTTCTTTCATTAGCTGCTGACCTGAGTAACTCACTGCGTGTGGCATTTCCCTAGGAAGAGAAAGTGCCCTCCCATTCCATGCCCATAAGGCAAAAGCACTGTGTTAATCATGAAGACATTCGTAACATTTTGGCTGAGATATTTTCCAAAAGTAGAAAGCAATTTTTACTGTTTCTTTTACTTACAAAAATTGCTAAAAACATTTTTCACTAACTGTTCTCTTCTTGTCAGTTGTCTTTTGTGGTGTGTTGAGGGCACGTTCCTCCACTTATGTTCCTTTGAGCCTTGTGATTTTGAAACTGGTTGTCAAATGGTTTTGATAGACGTGGGATTGGAACCCTCGTACTATGGACCTGACCCCAACTGAGCAGAAACCACTCAATCAAGGGTCTGCTGAAGGAACAGTGGCTGATTTTGCACTTCAGCTTCTGAGATTTAGTTTTAACTTTTTGTGACTAGTGCAAACTAATGCCTCTAAATATCCAGTGTTTTGATCAGTTTTAAAGAAATTAGAATCAGCTCCTTCTGCAGTCATCTTCTGCAGCTAATTAGTTCTCTTACACTGTCAGGAAATACCAAAGCTGCAGTGGGATATTTTCCTGACCATTTTTGGTGTGCTGAGGAACACATGTAGAAAATTGTTTAAGATAAACTTCTTGAGGAGAAAAGAGAATGGTTTTTGAGTACTGTAAAGATTTTTTTTTTTTAATCAGTTGATTATACACAGTGTCGGCAACGGTTTCCAGCCAGCTTGTCAGCTTTCTATCTGAACTAAGGGATATCCAAACACAGATCCTGCTTGTGTACTAAGCTTGTAAACATCGGGGTAAAGATTTGACATATTATTGCATAGAAAAGATCTTATTCTTTTCTTTTTTTCTCTCTTTTATACACAGAAATTGCTGTATCAGTTGTTTCACAATGTATGCTTGCACTCAAGTGCTGTGTTTTCAAAAAAAAACATTTCTCTGACCTATGGGCAGCACATTTCATACAGCAGCCTTTTGCATACACAGTGCCTCCTGGTAGTTTACACAGTGCCCAGAAAAGCCTCCAAACTTGGATGTGAAAATCCCAGCCTGAGATTTGGATGATCATGATGAAGCTTTTAGAAAATAGGTTCTTTGTGACAAATTCCAGTAATTTTTCATAAGGACAGTTGGAAAAAAGTGTAGATGTTGACCTTACAAAGAAGGCAAATGGGAAGATGAGATCTTAGCCTTCCCGTTCGTGCTTGGAAAAGGAAGAGTGACCTCTCACTCCTCATTGTCACTGAGAAGAAGACATTACCTTTGGTTTAGGCTAAGTCAGTCTGGATTGGATATTAGGAAAAGGATCCTACTTTGGGGGGCAAGAAAACTCTGGTTACATGGATGTAGGGATGTTGTGGAATAGCTTTTGAATGTGCTTTTTAAGGGTAGTCAGACATCTGGCAGGAAGTTCTTGATGTTGTTGAACCTGAAGGGGATCTTTCCTGAGGCTGCTCACAGGCGTTCTTCTGTCTGTTTGTGTCTGTAGACATGGGCACTCTTTGCAGGGAGGGGTCTCTGAAAGCAGAGATAACATGTGAAAATAAGGTTTCTCATTTTCAGTGCAATTCATTTACTATCACCATATCTGCACAGAGCAAAAAAGGTTTCACAGCATTTAAAATGGGAAAATGGCACGACTGACTGTGGTAGGGCTTAAAAGTTGCCTCGAGCATGCTGTTCAATCACTAAATAAGATATTAACCCCACAAATCCTTCAGTTTTTATTTGGTAAATTGGGGATTTGCACACCTCAAAAGAGTGCTAACTTAGGTGTATGATTACTTTTTATGAAATGGCTTAACAGCTTTCATTGGAGGTAAGTTGTAGTGTGGTGTCAGTATCGGGATCAGCATTTATGTTGCAAAACTTGAGAGAGAAAGTTCTGGTAAATAAAAATATTCTGTAGAGTGTTGTGGAGGAGTAGCTTCTCTTGTAGTCTTCTCAAAGCTTTGATCTGCTGCTGTTTGAGGTTTTTTAAGCTTTTCTCTTGATTACAGAGCTGCAGATCTGTGTCCTTTAACAGGATCAGGATTGGAATCTGTTACATCTGTTTCTTTTCCCATTTGTATCTGGTTTGTTTAGATGGTAATCTCTTTGGGAGAGGGATGGTTCCTCACTATGTCATTCTGCTGTGCCCAATCTGGATGCTACTCTTGCACAAAAGATAAATGTAATGGAGTGAATCTCACTTAAGGCAAATAACTGGTTGCTCAGGCACGTGTGCAGACTTGGACAAGAGTTTCTCAACCTAAACCCAAGCCCTGCTTCAAGTCAGAAACAACTTATTTCCTGACATTTTTATACTGAATGCAAGTTTGGAGTGGCAGCTGATGATGAACCGTTTGTGGTCCCCCCTCACCAGTTAGGAGCTCCACAGGGTGTGCTTGTGGGCAAGCCTGGTTCTGAGAGCAGCCTGAAACCGAGTTTTACTGATCTGCCAGGTCCCCGGCATCGGCTGCTTTTCTTGTTGCACCACCAACCTGTGCCACTTCAAATTTCACAGACATGCAACCCGGTATTTTCTTTCCTCTTTTAACTATATATATATATATATAAGTGTAAGATTAAAATAGTTATTTCTTCTTATTATAATTTTATCACTACTGTTTCTCTTTATAGTAGAATCCTTGAGCAGACCCCTGAGGTTTGATAAATCTTAGATAATTTGTGAAAACGTCGAGTTTTTTCTAACACTGGAATCCTGAAGTCCTCTGTGCAACTGCTGAAGTGATGGAGGCTCAAACACTTTTCTACTTCAGGGCATCCAAATCTGAATTAAGCACTAAAAGTTCTCATATTTCTTAGTCTTGGTCTTGTGGAAACTCATTGCAATGGGAACCTTCTTATTTTGTGCTTTGTACAGTGGTGTGGGCTTGAGGATGCTTAGTAAATAATTCTTTATTGCTATAGATCTATCAGCTAGGAAAATAGCAGTTCAGGCCTTTTTTTTTTTTCTGATAAGTATATTTAACAAAATCACAAATATGAGGACAAAACTGATTTTCCTGTTTCTGGGGAATAATTGTTTTTAAAAATCTGCAGGCAGCAGTTAATGGCTTTCTCTTTTATTCTTGACAGAAAATGCAGGTTCTCTGAAAGTTCTCTTTGGGACACCTGAGTTTGTGGCTCCAGAAGTTATAAACTATGAACCTATTGGATATGAAACAGATATGTGGAGTATAGGAGTTATCTGCTACATTTTGTGAGTACCTTTGCTATTCTTAACACAAATCCTGACAGTTGCTGAACATACAAAATTTCCATAGGAAACTTTTGAATTCTTCTCCAATTTTCAGGCCTTTTGTATTCTAATTAGCAGCTCCAGCATGTTTAATAAAAATTCTCTGTTCTCAGAAGGGTGCAATTGGTAAACTGCAGAAATAGCAATTCTGGAAATTCAGCCGTTTAGTGCTGTACATCTTGCATCATAAACCAGCAACGCTTCATCTCATTTAAAAAGACAATGTGACAGTATTTTATTATTAACTTTAAACTATTTTTCCTTCCCAGATATTAAAGAGAAATGTTTGAGCATACACTGATAATTGAAATTTCCATTCTTTTATTCCCAAGAGAGAAAATTTTTGTGAAATTTTGAGGTCTTCTTATTCAGATTGTATCCCTCCTGGGGCAGACTGAAGTATCCCAGCATTACCATATCTGTTCACAGTGAATTTTAATTTATTACTAAGCACAAGCCACTGGGTAAATACATTTTATAAGCAGCATGGATCAAGTTCAAGAGGATGGTTATCTGCAGCTCTTGGTTATGTATTTCAGTACTTGATTTTATCTTTATATGTGGTTTGATAACACGTGATTATAAACTTCAATGGGTCTAGAGAAACATATATGGAAATAGGGTCTCCGTGCCCAGAACAGCAAGCGATCTTCCTCCAACTGTGACTTCACACATTTGATGCCACATAAACAAATGCAAAGACAAGCTCAGTTTGGAGCATGGGTCTTTCTCCCTCCCCCCAGTTTCAATAGTAAGTAAATGGCAGATCTGCTTTGCGCTCATTCTTTAAAAAGGCTTCTCTCAACACCTTACTTTCTAAAAGTCTTCTCCTCCCCGGCTACATTCCTCCTTGACATCTGGCAGTGCCCAGTTATTAGCCTCCTCTTTACTCGGTCTTTCTGTAATTCTGCTTGCCTTGTCAGCCTGTCCTTGTTCTCATACTCATTTCCAAACTAAGCAACAGCTTTTCCCTTCTTATCCTGGGCAAAAGCTACTACACCAACTCTCTTACTCCCAGAAAAGACTCTGAATATTTCTGTTATCTTCTGTTTCTTCTGTGAAGTGTGCTGCACTCTTCAAGGTCACTTTGCTCTGCCAGTTTATTTAAAGGACCTTTATTTTCCATTCACTTCCAGCATTTCTTTCCAGATCTTGAAAGCTCGTTTGGATCATCCTGTAGTTCAAATAGTGCAGACCACACACGCAGTACTCGGATGACAAATGCATTTATTTCTCTAGCTTTTGAGGCCTCCTGAGTTACCGGGCACTGCAGAGAGGTGCGGAGATCCCAGACTCCCTCTCAGCAATGGGAAACCCAACAGTTCCATCGATGCTGCATTGCCCCCTAGAGGCCTCCTAGGCATTAAGGAACAGAACATCAACCACAGTGTGACGTGCACATTTAGGGGTTTTAACGTCTTCTGCTGCCATTTGTTATCAAAGTATATGTGAGGCTCTCTGTGTTTGCAGTATAAGCAGTGACATGTCTGATAACCGAGGCAAAAATCGGTGACAGCAGTGGGGTGTGCTGCGTAGGGTACGTGCTGGAGAACACTGTCATCCGCTAAGTAGACAAGGCAAAGGGAGCAGGTGAAGCAGATGGAGACAAGGTGACATGTCTTGCCAAAGACCAGTCTGCCAGCAGTGCCAGAACTGCCTCTTCCTGGTTTCTCTGTGCCACCAGAAGCAAGATGTTTGGGTGCTGTAATGTTCAGCAGATGGGATTGGAGTGGTGTTACACAGGTCTTACAGATGACCTGAGATGCCTTGTGAAACATATTATGAAATTGCTTGTTTGCCAAGATGTCTTTAAGCTCATTTAACTCCTCATGAGGGGAAAATTACATTACCTAAATGCAACAAAAATCTTCTTTTTTGATGCATAGCTAGTAATAACTAAAAGTAATAATCAGCTTTTTTCTTTCTTGTGATAAGAATAAAGTAATAGAAGTCAGGGAAAACCTGTGAGTCATCGCTTGGACTTCCCCCCCCTTC